AATTTTATAAAAATTTCGATGAAATGCATTTTATTTCAACATAGTCGACATGAGATGGCAAAATCAACAACATTGACATGTACAAACAGGTGGAATAAAATAGATAGGAAGTCGGTATTCGTTCGATTCATCTTATTTATTCTATTTAATCTTCCTTATCGATAAAGTCAATATTACCCGGTGTGTATACAACCTATGATATATTACAATGCTCTGTAACGGACGCCATTACGTTAGAATCTACGATGAAACTTGTACATGTGCGTGTATATGTGTATGTGTACGTTCCATTCTTCAAAACTGGTTTATCGGGAAGCAACGTTTTCGCGATGAAAAATATGGAATTGTTGTTTCAACGCGTTTATCTTGGCTCTTCTCTGCGAAAATAAGATATCGGCCAATCACGAATTTATAAATCGAAAAATTGAAATTGGATCGACGAATCAACGAGTTATCGAATTAATCAAATTTCTATAAGTTTTATAATCTTGTTTTATATTGCTTAATTGATTTTTTATTTTCACTAAAAATATTACTTTTGTTTGCAAAATTTCGTTCCATTCAAAAAAAGATTCAATTTAATTATCTTTAATTATCTTGCTTTAAAATCTAAATCAATAATTCTAGTGTCAAAAATATTTATCGAAAGGTATAATTATTATTTATTCGCGCAAAAATCGATCAACGCAAACGCCTCCTTTTTCCCTCCCCATAAAGTATGCACGCGGGTGAAACGAAGGTTTGTTCCTTTGGTCTTTCAACGCGTGCAAAAGGGAGACAAGGTGGACAAAGCGCGGGCAAAAAGCACGAGGCAGAAGTTACACGAACCCAGTCGTGCATGGCTGACCATGCAAGGATTTATTCACTGTTCCCCCACTTGACTGGGAAACTATAGTCCATTAGACAGTCGGCGAGTCACCACGGGCCAATGGCCAATAATTTATCGTTTTATCTCTTAGACGCAGCCCGAGATCGCGTAATTAATTCGATCAAAAATTCAAACTCTTCGAAACATTTCTCTTTAGCCATTCACCGCGTGCACCGCCGCGTAATACTAGTGATTAGGATGTATAAAACTTTGTTGAAAATTGAATAACTGGACGGATGAAGTTACCAAGACTTTTTTGAATAGTGTACATACCATTACGATCAAAACTTTGGAATGATTAATGTCTTTTGTGGTGAATTAAAAAAAGTTAGGTTAGAATTTTGTCATTTATAAAATTTATCTCCGGAAATTGAATTCGGACAGGTGAGTAATAAGTACATTATCGTCTGAAATATTAATATAATCGAAAAAAAAGTTAGGTTAGAATTTACCTGAAAAATTTGTGACCGGAAATTGAATTTAGATAGAAAGTAAATGTTCTTTTCGAATAATGTGCTAGATTTTTTTCAATAAAATGAATCTATGGAATAAAGTTATTCGTGTTCGTTATAAAAATATGAGATATGAAAGAATTGGTTTCTTCCTGAAAATCGTGTCCAAGAAGAATAATTTCACAACGTTGGAGAAGTTTAACGAATTATGAAAATTTTGATCATGCAAATTCGAAGGTTTTAGAGATGATATACAGGGATTTCATGTTAGTTATCCATTTTAATCTCTCAAGGCACAGTGTAATAATCCTGATGGAATAACAGCATTTGTAAATTGAAATAGTTGCACCAGAATCTGAATTTCGCGGACTGTCTCGCAAATATTACAGGATTTCCTAAGCATTTCAACCAGTATTACGGATATGTTGATTAAGAGCATTACAGAAATTGCATTAAATTGAAGCATTTCTGGTTGAATAAATAATATATACATACGATTCCTTCAAAATTTTAATTCTTATTTATAAAATTTAAAAAAAAATATCCAAAAAATAATTTTCTTATCTCACAATCTTTTCAATTTATCCTAAATAAATCATGTATCATATTTAAAACGAACAAGAAATTATTTTTATTGCATAAAACACGATTATACAAATTTCATTTTCATAATCCCAAAATTATTTATTTACACTTAATTAATCTTCGAGTTAAGATCGTCAAGATGTCGATCGACAATTAAAGAATAATTTAGAGTTTTTCTTTTATCTTATCTTTTCTTGTTAAACTTGTTAAACTTCAATCTCGTCCAATTGTAAATGGTAACATTTTACGTGTCTCTGTTTCCATCCGGATGGCGATATATCTCGAAGAAGGCTGGTGGAGGACCCCTCTTCTATATTCTCCCTTCCCTCCCCAATTTAAAGTTTCCCGTGTTTAAAATTAAGCGCAGAAAAGTTTTCCTCGGATAAACTGAACTTGTTAAACGTAGCCAGAAACTCGCTCAATATCTTCTCCTCCCCCCCCTCTCTTTCTTTCCACGTGGTCGGATTTCTCGAATTGGCCGCGATGAAAACACGTGTCCTCCACAATTCTTCGGATCTGGAAGAAGTTGGAAGATGTTCGGTTTCACGAGATATATCGTGTAATTTAATATATATGATAATTTAGAATTTAATCTAAAAAATTGTTTATAAGAAATTATAATTCGTAGAATTGTATCAAAAGAAAGATTAAATTTTGGAAAAGAGAAAAGAAATTTATCTTTCTAACGAAGAAGAAGAAATGTGAATTGTCGTTAAAGATGTGTTTTTTTTCTTTTTTTGCTTGCAGAACAAACTACCGTCCCCATGCTTGGCAGCAGTGCGTTTCCTGGGACCACTTTAGGTGAGTCGAAATCGTTTTCGTAATGGAAATTTCTCTATTAAAATTTTCACCCAATGAAATTGTTTGCCTTCCATCCTTTCCGCCATCCCTCGATGCGATTCTCAAACCACTCCACGTTTATTATCGACCGATACACAGAGGCCACTCTCGCCATTTTAAAGGCGAATCGATATCCCCTTGTGGAGAGTTTTAAAGTGCCTCGATATCGACCGGCAAATTTTCTTTTTTTTCTTCTGTTCGGTGAAAGTCGAAGAGTTTAACAAACTTCGTTTATATCGGCCAATGTGCCGATAGAAATATATAGATGAAAAAAGAAAAAGATTCTCGATATCGATTTCGTAAAAAATCTCAGTTTCCTTTGCATCTGCTTTTTTGATTTTTTTTCTTGTCAAGAGAAGGAGAGAATTTAATTTTTTATTTTTTTGTCGTTGGTGAGTAAGATGAGCGAGTAAAAGAATATTCTTTTTTTTTTTATTTGATATTGAGACAAAAGTTTGATTAAATTTTAATATTTTGAGATTCTTGATCATTCGCTCACAAGTCAATGTTTATTATTTAAAAGAGGGGAGGAGTTCCATCTCCTATCATCAGAAAGGATGGAAAACGAATGAAGAAAGTCTGTGTGGAAGTTTGATAAAAAAACTTGGATAAACTTCGATCGATTGATAAAAAGTTTTCGTATCGATTTCACGATTACTTACGCGAGTTCCTTATCATTCAGATTAAAAAGTGGAAAAGAAATTGCATCGTCTGTATTCGTTTTTTCCCCGATACAATAATAAATGAAACACAGGCTATTTCGAAAAATTTTTCTCGTCGATCTTTTTTCTTCCTTACGATTTCTTCTTCTTTTCTTCTTTTCTTCTTCTTACGATTCTCTGAGGAGCAAGTGAAAGGAAAGAAAAAAGGATCGATCATTTTTCTTTATATTATTTCTCGTACTCCTCGAGGAGGAGTATCTTCGAGTTGACACAGGAAATATTCGGAACGAGATGGAGATAAGCAGTGGTGGAGGGGATAAAGGAGAGGTTCCGGGGGATAGTTATCGCCTATTTCCTTTTTCTACTGGAAGGAAAGGAAAAAAAGAAACTTTTCTTCTCGATAGACGGAGATATCCAACGTGGATAACGCGGATAACGTACGACTTTGCGGAATTTAATTCCAACTTCCCAGGAGATCGACGATTTGATCTAAATCCAAGACGGAAGTTCTCTTCGTTCTCTCGTCCCTTCGTACATGTATAAGTGTATTTGCACTGTAGATATGCGATATCTTGGAACCTTTCCCTCTAACTCGGACGAAACACGGTCTTGAAAAAAAATCGAGAAGCTAAGTATTTAATTTCTCTATTAGATTTGATTTTTTAGATCTAGGGATCCCTAGATTTAAGATCCTCGAAAAGCAAGTAGAATTTTCTAATTTTGTTTAAAATTTAAAGGACTGGACGCGTAAGATCATAATATTTAATTTCTTCGTTAGTTTCGATTCTTTAGATCTAGGGATCCCTAGATTGGGGGATATTATATTATAAATGAGAGTTTTTAATTGAAATGTATGGAAGTTGGGTGTCCGAAATAAGAAATAAAAGTGCGCTCGTGAATTATTTGCATCAAACCTTTTGAGATTAGGGAGAGGTAAATTATTTTAACTTTTTTGAGGATTGAACGTGACGGATGGTGATCCAGAGGGAATAAGAAGCGTGTGGAATATTTTTTTAGAAAATTATATTTCGAATTTAATTTTGTTCTTCTGATTAATTTCTCTCTTTCTCTCTCTCTCTATATATATATATATTGATTTTACAGTTTATCTTGGATCAGTTTATTACTGCATTATCCGTGATTGCGTTTAATATCATTAGGATGATGAGTGGGTATCCATAAACGTGTCGAATCAATAATTTCTCTCGTTGATTAGAAGCGGTATTTATTTTGCCTCTATATAAACGAAAATTAATTATGTTTTGGCCCTCGTGCAATTTCGATTGATGTGGAATCGGGGAGGGAAGGGTTCGTGTAGTGGAATTCGCGCAGTCAAAGGATTAGGGATCCACCGAGTTATTCCAATAATATCGCTCTTTATCGAAAGTGACGAACATTCAATTAATCAATAATGGGATTTTCGTGGTTGTACATTGTTTGAATTAATCCATCGATTAATCTCTGATCTGAAATTCTGAAAACGGTTTTCATTACTTCATTCTTATCGCGATTGCTCCCTTTCTCTACCATTTTTCAAGTACGAAGCGAGAATTTTAAAGAATAAAAAAAATTCTTTTTTTTATTCTATAAATTTTTTTATATCTATAAATCTAGGGATTCCTAGAATCTAGAAGTACATCTAGAGTTTTTCCTTCATTTTAACTTAAAAGCTAAACAACGCGTAAAATTACAACAATATTTAATTTCTATTAGATTTGATATTTTAGATCTAGGGATCCCTAGATTTAAAATCCTCGAAAGGCACGTAGAATTTTCTAATTTTGTTTAAAAGTTAAAGGACTGGACGCGTAAGATCATAATATTTAATTTCTTCATTAGTTTTGATTCTTTAGATCTAGGGATCCCTAGATTTAAAATTCTCGAAAGACATGTAGAACTTTCTAATTTTGTTCAAAAGTTAAAGGACTGAGAAGTATTTCATTTCATCTTAAATTCTACATCCGTAAGATTTAGAAATCCTTAGACACTCTAGATTCTTAAGAAGATTCCATAAAGCTTTCTAATTTTACTTTCAAAATTTTGCTTGGAAAGGAACGCATGGAACTTGAGATATTTGAATATATTTCAAAAAAGTGCGAGATAGGCTGTTTCAGCTTAAGAGAGAGGGTAGAGTGTAATTTACCATAGGGAGGAGTATCTTAGAACGAGAGAAGAGGCACATTTCACGAGTGAATTTGAAAATACGTTGAATATAATTTTTTTTTTCGCCCGCAATTCTTTCGAGAAAATCGAGTTTAAAAATTCGCAGCGCGTTTTCGCCTACTCTTCACCGAATAAGGATGAAAAGTTTGGGCACGAGATATTATTCTCTTCCAAAGAAAAGATAAGTCGAAAATGTGGAATAAATTTTTTTTTTTTTTTTTTGCTCGTTTCATGTACCTCTTTTTCAAAAAGTTTGAAAATTCCTGTCTTATAATATATTAGTGTTCCTTTATTATCCTGGATAAATGACTTGATAAAGATATAAAAAATTGGACAGGTTGGATGATTTCACAACGAAAACAATTCGAAATTAAATTTTTCTATTCGAAGCTTCGTTTCCAAGAAAATTAATTCCGAGAAGGGAAATTACTCGGATGTTAAATTACTTTTAAGAAAAATAAAAAAGAAAAAGAAGAGAGAACGAAAGAAATTCTGTTAAAAATCTATTTAATATAATTCTCACGATTAATATACACACAAATAATTGATTTAAAATAAAAAAAAAAAATATACTTGAAACGTTAGTTGAAAAAATTGGAAGAAAATCGTAGAATTAGAAGAATCAGAGCGTTTAAAAGAAACTTTTTTTCAAACTAATTTGAAAAATTGAATTTCTTCTCTTTGCCAAAGTTTTCTCTTTTTCCTTTCTTTCTTTCTTCTTTTTTTTTTACGAAATATTTCATTGGACTGTGAATAAGCGACGAATTTCATTTTCTATCGTGCTCTCTCTCTTTCTCTCTATAAAATCAAAAACTTTCCCGAAACAGAATAATAGGAACGCGATATATTTGATTGAAAAAAAAAAACTCGAAATCGAACGAATCGAGATCAAAAAATGGATATATAAATTAAAATATTAAGTTAAAATCTGTGAAACGTGGAGGAAAATCGAACGATTCTTATCGAGAAACAATTTTTTCGACGGTGAATTCGAAGGCAAAATGGCCGATCCGATTAATTAATCGAACAACTCGAGTTTAATAAGGGATTTCGTGGGGCCGATTCCCTGCGTTTGCTTTGAACAAGATTGCTCAGCTTTCCCCTCCGATTGATTTTTATTCCCGATAGATATAAATATAACACGTTTCATTCTAAATTTATGTTTGATTTTCTATTTTTTTTTTTTTTTTATTACGAAACCGGAAAGTTTTTTTTTTTTTT